TACAAGTGAGATCACCCTACATCTGTCACACCTCCAAGGCTCATGGACCTTAGTGAAAGATTGATGGAAAGTTTGTAAGAGCGGAGTGTGTCCCAAGCAGCCTGGTTCCTCCGAGGGGTGGGTCCTGCTGTGGATAACTGATTGTGGAGAGTTACCTGAAAAGGGAGGGGTTTCTGGGTGTCATCTTGGAGGAGAGGTGGCACACGTGAAAAGATGGACCAAGAGGGTTAGGGTTAGAGCAGTCGCAACTGCAGGCCCAAGATGTGTGGGCCAAAGTTAACAGAGACTGTGGGTGGGTGCAGAGCTGGGTGCCAGGTGTCAGGTGTTCCTTTCTTTCCCCCCTTGCTACCCAAGATATAAAAGGAAAAATTCAGATAAAAGTATGTTATGTAATTTGTCTGATAGTGGCCTGAGCAAGAGACCCAGATGAAAGTGAGGGCGGGTCAAACAGAGAGTGGGAAGGTGAAAATTTAGTGGGACAAATGTTAAGTTCATCAATCATAATTTTAAAGTGAAAATATTTCCTTTGTTAAGCTGTCTTGATTTCAGGGCTAGCAGAATAAATTTCCAGGGTAAGATATAGAGAAATCAAAGAAAGGCATAGACATTATAAAGCTAGTATATTTAACAAAGTTCTTGAACTGATAGATAAGTTAAAGATTAAAGTGATCATTGTCATGTTTTACATATAAGACATGGAGGAAATAATTCTGATAACCTCAGGTCCTTTTGGGTAAAATTAAGGTATATTGCCAAAAATTGTAGTTTTGTGACTTGTTAATATCATGCAACTCTGGTGTCTGAATTAAATTAGAAAACCTATTTTATTGTGTGATTTTAATCTCTACTGAAAAATTCTGGAAAAAACTTCCTACCAAAAAGTATTTGTTTGAAATTTCATCCTTAAATTATAAATTATATGTCAGGCTTCAGAATTTCACTTCCAATGCAGAAATAATTTTGGAGAAAATTATTTTGTTAAATTATCAGCTTTGAGATAAATGAAACCTTTTTCCTAAATAACAAAGTATATTTCAATTAGTCAATAAAATGATACATTATCTAACATAATCTACCAGAGAGGAGTTTCATAAAGTAATACAAATGCATTTAAAGAGTTAATCTCTTCAGTTGGTGTGATAGTTCCTATGTATGATATGATCATTTTGGTGGTGAATATAGATTGTCAATTTGGCAGAATTAGGAAATGCCTCAATTAGTGAATCTCTGGGTTTGCCTGTGAGGAAATATTCAGACATGATTAGAAGGTAAAGACTCTGACCTAATGGATGGTTTAAACTCTTGATGGATTATGATAGGATGGTATTAAGGGAGGTGATTAAAGCTACCAAGGGGGACCTAGTTGGAGGAATTAGATCCATTGATTGTATTTCTGTATACCCCATCTCTGTTTCTATCCATGAAGAAAGGAGAACACCCTTATCTGCACACTCCACCAAGTTGATGTTCCATTCAAGAATATGAGGGCAAGCAGACATGGACTGAACCTTCTGAAACAATGAGAACAAAGTCTGCATCCTTAAGTTGTTTCTCCAGTTATTTTGGTCACAGTGATGCAAAAGTAACTGAACTATTGTCAGGAGTGGTAATGATAAAAGTAGAAAGAGAAGGATTCAGCTTTTCTTACATAGTGGAAAATAAAATTATTGGAGAACCCATACTCCATGACATGTGGTTACCTTCTTAGCATTTTGTGCCTTTCTGCTTTTCTATATTTGTGCATTCCTTTTTAAAGGTATGTTCCACAAAAAATAAAATAATTTTTATTTGATCATTTTTATTCTCATTAAGGTTAATGTGATAGGGGAATATCAAAGAATATTGCACACCTCAAGAATCATTGAAGAAATTAGAAAATCCTTTCCTGCACCTATATCTTGTAGAGTACTGCCTGTGTTTTTTTTCTAAGAGTTTCAGTGTTTCATGTTTCACACTTTAGTCTTGATGCATTTGGAGCTGACTTTCATGCAGGGGGTAAACTACTGATTCTGTGAGCAGGATAAAATAAATGTTATAAGATAAAGAAAGACAAACACATGCACACACACAAACATATATACACACTATTGTACTAGAACTTTTTTACTAATCCCTGGGATTGGGTAATGTCAACATCTTTTCAAAATATTACATTGACCTTAGAATTTGTTTTAGTAGGTTAGAAATTTATATTAAGCATATTATTTCGTAGTTTATGAAGACCAAATATTTTAAAAAGTGTATCGGAAAAGAAAATGTCTGGGTATACTCTCCAGGAAATGGTAATAGTAGTAAGTGAAATATAATCTGACAGTTTAATTTAATCAGTGTGTCACTGTTTTGTCTTAATAGAGCAAAATCACCCAGGGTTGAGTACTTAATTTACTCTCAGCAGCCAGAGGTGGGTAATGAAATCAGAAGTCACTCACTAGTTGGCTATAGCAGGTAGTACAATTAGGGCTGCTCATAACAATTTAAATTAGATCTGAATCGTGGAAGACTTTGCTAATTTAGACAAGTATAAGTCTGGAAAGCTCTATGACTTCTGCATGACAAGTAGGCATGGCAGGCTTTGCTTGAAGATTCCCTGACATTTGTAGATGACAGTTTTAAGGTGCCGGTAATGTGAGCTTGCAAAACACCAGAGCTTGTAAGAGAAAATTCTCATTGTAGGTGTATACAAATAAGGTTTCCTTTTTTTCCCCCCAAGGCCTCCATTTTGCAGCACTGGAAAGGGCAAAGGAGAGGCAACCAATTAGTAAAAAGAAAGTCAGCAGTAAAATTTTCCATTCTATTTGGATATCAAGGGAATAGAATTAGACTAAAGGATTAAGCAAACAACCTGAGATCATTTAGATTCTGTTATGGGATTTGCTACTAAATGAAACATTCATAAGGAAGTCTCTTGATTTTGTGACTCATTTGCCCTTTGTAGAATCATTAGAAAATTTATTGCTCGGCATACACTGAGGTGAAATTTGTTCACAACAACACTCAGAGATCAACCTGCATAAAACTAAAAATACCTCTTGGGGCGATAGAATGTTAGCAAATGTAAGCTACCTTGCTTCTGTTGCTGTTCCCTGATAATGTCCTACAACTTAGAATGAAACTTTGTTATCCTAAAAAATTATCGAATTAATGCTATTAAAATTCATTAGAAATACTATGATTTCAGAGACTCTTAATTACAAAATGTCAGAAAAGAAAACAATTTTGGGGGAAATCTTACAAATGTTCTTTGATATTAAACAAGTGGCTGTCAGTGGTTATGTTTTAAATAAAATTAAAATATTACATAAAATATTAATATGTGATATTCTATGTTGTACTACTTACTTTTTGTTGCTATGAAAAAATACCTGACAGAAGCAACCTAATGAAGGAAGGGTTTATTTTGGCTCGTGTTTTAAGAACTGACATACCTAATTACTTAGGGGAAGGCATGGAGACAGGAAAGTAAGGCAGCTGGTTACTTTGCTTCCACAGTGAGGAAGAAGAGACATGAATGCTGGTATTCAGTCCTCTCCTTTTTATTCACCCCAGAACTCCAGCTCACAGAATGGAACCATTCACAATTAGGGTGGGTCTTCACATCTCAATTTACCTAACCTAGAAGCTATGTCATATATACTTAGATAGATCAGCTATATCATGTCCAGAGGATTCTCTTCTAGATGATTCTACATCCTATTACATTCACAATCACTATCAACCATTGCCCCGACCCACGGAGCAACAGCGTGGGCCACTGAGACTGAACCTGGAGGAATGAATAGACAGGGGGCACGAAGAAATGGAGACAAGACAGTATTCTGATCAAGTCTCATTTATTGAGCAATCACACAGTGTTAATATAGTAAAGCGGAGGGTGGGGGAAGATAAAGGGTGGAGAGAAGGCGGGGGGAGTGGAAGGCGGCAAGGCCCTGCTGGGGAATTTCTACTACAGTCATGAGCCCTGGTGGTTTCACAAGATAAGGAAGTAAAATGTAGTAAATCAGGGCAAGAAAAACATGTTTTTACAAGGCTACCTGGTTGTTTCAAACTGGGGCAGGGGTACACTTAAGACTTGGCCTCCAACGTCTCCTCCCTTCTACTTTACTAAAGGTAATCCAGACTCCTCCCGTGAGAGGCTATAGTTCTCACAGTTTTGCTCTTGGTACTTTTGGGGAGGTGAGGCAGAGCAGTGAGGGACCCTTGGGTCCCTGCCCAGGTGACTGCGCCTGTCTTAGGTCAGAAGGGATCTCCCCCAAATCATACACCCATCATGGGATGAGGCCGCAGCTTTGGCGGCCCTCCTGTCTTAGGTGTTTTAGTGAGGGGGCCACTTCTCTTACCCGTCTCTGGCTGCCAGTCAAGCTTGGCGGGCAAAGGTGAATGTACCAACCTCATGCTAGTCTGGTTATAGATGTTAGGGAGTTATGTTATAAGTCCAAGGTTAAGGTACCAGGAGACCTCAAGGGTCTGTCATATTCAGTTTCCAGGGGCTCAGTCATCTCTAAGCGTTGATAGTGGATTTGAATGGGCTTAGATAAAATTGAATCAACCTGTTGTTTGATAAATTTTGTGATCCTATTGAATGCCCAGGGCCCAAGGGAAATTACTATCAGAAGGCCGAGGAGGGGGCTAAGGAGGGGAAGGAGGTAGGGCATGAGTCCACCAAGTCCGGTGCAGAAGGGGTTATCTTGTAGTTCTCAACATCGCTTTTCTAATTGTTCTTGGAGATTTTTGATCTTATCTCGAACTATGCCGGATTTGTTGGCGTAGAAACAGCACTTCTCCTGTAAAAACAAGAAGATGCCTCCCTTTTCGGCAGTTAACAAGTCTAGACCTCTTCTGTTTTGAAGGACTACTTCAGCCAGGCTATCAAGTTGTGTCTGGATCTCTATTATGGTTTCTGAGAGAAGTTGAACATCATCAATCAATTGTTGGGAGAGTTTATAGTAGGTTTGGGTGGCCATCCCAAAGCCTGCAGGTCTAGTAGCCAGCCCGGCGGTTACACCGAGTGTTATCATTAAGGGAATCATTTGGACGGCTCTTTTGGGACGGCCTCCCACGTATTCAAAGGCAGGAACGGGGAGGGGCTCGCTGCCTAGAATGATATCTAGATCTGGAAATAAGATGGCAGGACACATTGACCTGTCCAATTGACCGGAAGGAAGTTTTGTGCCCATCCGCCCCCACAGACAAAGACACTCCCAGCAGGTGGGCAAACATCAGCATCATATGAAACAGAAATGTTTGAGCTGCAGGAAGTTGAATAAATGTTCCCCAAATCAACACGGGAGCCATTTGGGTATGGTGTGGCAAAAACACAGAGCCTGGGTAATATGGGCATGGATTGGACTCATATGGGAGGAGCTAGGGTGCAATTGTGGGGTGGCTTAAATAGCTCAGACTCTGAGGTATTGGAGATGGTGGAAGCGTTAATGATCACAGCAAGGGGTTTGGGGGGTCCAACCTTTTGGCAGATCCAGCAGTCCTCGGCTATAGAGAGGGCTGTTTGGTTTAGCAACATATGGGTAAGTTCTAGTAAGTTTAGCATCTGTGGGTCAAGGTCTAGTTCTTCTCTGTCCTCAGGCAATGCTAAGGGGTGGTAATTGAGTTTAGGGTACAGGGCTTGAACTCTTTGTTCTATCTCCTTATTTACTCTTGTTTGTCGTGCTTTGTCTTGAACCCCACCACCATCCATATACCCTATGGGGGCCTCTAGATCCCAACATAGGTTCTCGCCAACATTGCCATGACATTGGGAGGGTGCCAAATTTCCCCC